GTACTATTAAATAAGCTACTATACTTATTTATCATTTATATTTACAATATAAAGATATTTCAGTCGTTTGACAGATCAATTGATACACAATCTATTAACACAAAGTCTATTAACACACATTTGGTAGAAACAATTCTATCTAACGACAGGTAATTGTCGTTATGCATTGATAGCCTAAGAAATAAGGTTTTCATCCGTAAATATGTTGTAATCTCAATAAGTTTAGTGAAAATAACTTTTTATTTTGTGCGCGGGTATAAATTAAACAATTTCAGGTTAGGATTTAATACGAAAATGCATATTTAACATTGCTTTGAACTTCCAAAAAGAAACGTCAAATCGCAACTTTAAAGTGATTTTTCGGTAAGTACTACACTTTTCCGCACTTTTTTTTATCATTAACACATCTTTTGAGTCATTTCCTACCGATTAAAAAAAATCATCGATTTTTAAGTGGGACAGGTATTCTTTAATTATTCCACAACTTTTGACGTAAAAATTAAACCCCAAACTTTACCCTCCTAAGCGGCCTTGTTTTTATTGATACAACAAAAAAAAATGTTAGAACGATTTATTTTCGAAATATCCGGCTTTAAAGATACACCACCTCTCAAATTTTACTAAACCTAAAAATATTTCTAATAAGAAAAATTAAAAATAAACATGTGATTTATTGAGAAAAGAAGAAATTCTTGACCTTCATCGCACTCGGTAGCATAAACTTTTGATTTGTTTTATCACAACACATGGATAATTCGGAGTACCGTATTCTAAATGAATTTTTATTACCTATCTGATTCCATCTGGTCTTTTCTCAATGATTAACATGTTCCTTTTTTAATTTTTCTTCATTGGGCTACCCTGTGTATTATTTTATTGCAGATATGAAAAAATACGTAACCGTACTAATATTTTCCTTGAAAGTAACATAAAATAATTAAGATAATAAAATAAGATTAAATAATACAGACGTCTGTTTATATTTAGTTACACCAATTTAAAAAGAAATTTCATTCGTAATCGTGTAATAATTAGATATAGCACTTAAACTACATTATCAAAAAACAGCGAAACCAAACAAATCTGACACTATCTATAAATCTAGTCGTTCAGATTAAATATAAATTTAATACCTGCTCAACTAAAATAATAATTACGTCCATAAAACGATCGATAGATAGCAAAATATTACGTGGACAAATAAGGTGTCGTAAAAAATCCGACAATAGATAATATTTATATAAGATATTATTTTATCATCTAGGAGCTGTAAATTTAAATCAGAGAACTGTTTGGACAAAATTTGAATGTAATTTTTTCGGAATAATCTTTGTAAATTGTAAGAAACTTTACTTATTAAGTAGTATTGGGTTTTACCAACATATAAATTAGGAAACTAAAAATACTGGTTAAGTTTATGTCACAGCTTCTTTGATACAGTTGTGTTCAGACTTATCTGAAGCTATCTGAGTAATCGTTTTTTATTATTCTAATATTTAGTATCGTGCCTTTAGTATTTATGAAGTCTTTTTGTTAGTTGCGGCGTAATTTTCTGTCATTCTTCGAGCAACATCTTTTTTTAAATCTTCTTTATTGTATATCTTAAACTTGCGTATATTTTAATCTAAAAATTTCCAAAGTATTTTCAATTAGATTCATATTAGGTGACTGTGCCAGTGGTGCCATTAAGAACAGTTTTAAATAAGTCACGACTTCACGATATTTGATTTGTGCTTCCGATCGTTATTTTGATAAATAATTTCGTATGCCGAGATTTTCAGCACTTTGAAACAAGTTTTATTATGAAATTTAGACATACATATTTTTATCCAGCACAGAACAGTGTCAACAGTACAAGGTTTCCCTTATTCGTCCTGAATTTCGGTAACCAGTTTTACAGTAGATAACTTTAGATTTACCTTGACATTCGTCGATTGCGTTGTCAAAATCTTGTTAAACGTTCGAGTTCTGCCCTTATTAACCACGCGATTTTCGTGCACAATCCTTTCTATAATTTTTCATACAAATTGTCCATTTTTGGAATGGTTCACGTGTTAATCATTAAATCATATTGATCTTATTAGTCATTGTCATTATACAGTACGGATGACCGCGACGACTGTCCATTAGAACTACAGTGAAATTCCCCTAACTCGAAGTTCTATCTGCTAAAGCTATGGTTTATTTCCGTTGGTGTGATGATTAGGTTACTTTTTATAATGGTCTGTTCTCAAACAATGCTACGTTTGGGGTTTAGTAATGAAGATTATTTGAATCTGATAATAATTTATAGAGAGTGCAACCAAATAATTGCGCGTACGTGTCGGCTGTTTGCGGAAAGATTTCCATGAATTTCCAACTCATCGCGTACCATTTAAGGGTATTGTACACAGGCTATTAAAGAATTGTCAGGAATTTTAAACTTTTTTTCTGGAAGCAGGAACATTAAAATTGGAATTTTATCGCTCTTTTTTACGATGAAAACTGAAATCATGAGATATACCAAAGAATTTTGCGCAACGTGTTGGTGGCAGCATTGCGACTTCTCGAAATCTTTTTGCGAACAGCCGATACGTATGCGCAATTATTTGGTTGCACAAACGTGGCATTTTTTGAGAACAGATCACTACAAAAACTAACCCAGTATCACACCAACAGAAATAGACCGTAGCCTTAGCAAATGTCAAACTGTTTATTTTTTCGATCATTCTTGTGATTCCGCTTAAGAATCGTTCTAACATGGTAAACAAACATTTTAGGCATAGGATATTCTACATAAAGTTGATCCAAAATTTGTCATAAAATTAAAAAATTAACTCATATGTTAGGGTTGCCATTTGAAAAAATTGACTTTTAGGGCTTTTCTTAAGTTCAACTTTGATATTATAATTTCAACATCCTGTATATCATTTCGAAGAACCTTACTGATCCTCCGATAATACCACCACAAAATTTTTCTTTCTGGCGGTCAGAGTCGATGATTTATAAATTATTGAAAGTAACGTTGTAGCTGACGTTTTAGATTAAAAAAAATTAATATCTCAAAAATGACTCAACTTAGGTATAGGGTATGTAATAGGGCTGGGCGATACCTTAAATAAGGTATCGAGTATCGATACCTTCGCGGAAGTATCGAATTATTGGAAATAATATTTTAATAAATAAAAACTAAAACATCAAAAAATATTAAAAACAAAATAAATATCTTAATTTAAACGCACTTTGTTTTACATTTATTTACGTATAGTATCTAAGTACATTCTTTATGTATTTTTCTTCGTAGATTGTAATTTTTGGAGTTAAAATGGTGGAAAGAATAAAGCTAAAAAGAAAGAGAAATAAATTACGCACCCTAAACCTTATTCCCCCCCTCCATATGTTCTTGATAATTTTTTTCGATTATCGTACTTGTCGCGTAAAAACT